AGCACACGAAGAATAACTCAAGCGTACTATTTTCCGCATTAAACACAATATAATTCTCTCTCGTAAGATAGAGCTGATCGAAGAACGCACATCTGCGGGCCACGAAGCCCTGTTCCCCCGGTCAGGATTCACCCGTGCTCTCACCTGCGTTGGGGTCGGTGGGGGCCGGATCGAGCAGGGCCGTGGTGGCGTACGGCGAGGGCGCCACCGGCGGTCGGCGCGGCAGCGTGGCGCCGGTGAAGGCCGGCAGCGTGCGACAGCTGAGCTCGGCCGGCTCGGGCCGCTTGGTGGCGCCCAGGCGGCGCCGTCCATCCAGGAGCGGGACGCACGCCCGACGGCAGCAGCCAGTCCCTCGGGCCGCTTCTCACCGACAGCTGCCGCACACGCAGAGACATTCGCTTAGCATTAGACACTTGGGCCGCTTCTCACCACAGCCGCCGCACATGCGAGACACTCACTCAGCATCTAATGCTCGGCCATTTTTCACTGACAGCTACCGCACATGCAGAGACACTCGCTCATCATTAGACACTTGGGTCGCTTCTCACCGACAGCTGCCGCACACGCAGAGACACTCGCTCAGCATCTAACTTGGGCCGCTTTTCACTGACAGCTACCGCACACGCAGAGACATTCGCTTAGCATTAGACACTTTGGGCCGCTTCTCACCAACAGCCGTCGCACATGCGAGACACTCACTCAGCATTAGACACTTGGGCCGCTTCTCACCGACAGCTGCCGCACACGCATAGACACTCGCTCAGCATCTAATGCTCGGGCCGCTTCTCACTGACAGCTACCGCACATGCAGAGACATTTTCTCAACGTCAGACCCTCGGGCCGCTTGTTACCGACAGCTGCCACACACACAGAGACACTCGCTCAGCAATAGACACTTGGGCCGCTGCTCACCGATAGCTGGCGCACACAAGGACATGCATCCAACGCGCACACAAGGAAATGCATATGCACAAGGACATCAGGATGTCTTAGTGACACCTGCAGGAACATTTACTTCAGAATTCCTCTAAAGATGACTGCCCGGGTACGGTTACTCAGTTAAGAAGGCCTCAGGACAGGGCGGATAATCGTTCTAGAGAGTGGTGATGGTGGGGAGAAGACCCTATTTTTGTAAATTATTGTCATGCATTACCACCTGGTTCAAGGTCACGCATGCCCATGTCGTGGGTGCTGTGCAAGGAACGGTAGATGGAGGATGAGGGTGGGAGCAATGACTACCCCTCGCCCTTCCCACATTCCTACTGTGGAACCTCCTGGCGCCTCATGACATCTACTGAACACCAGTTTGGTTACACAAAGCGCAAACGCCCAAAAGGCTGTTTCTCACCAACAGTCACAATCAGGGTGACTGCTGGTGCTGTGTCGCACATTTAGTCACAATCAGGGGGCCCTAAGCCGCTCATAACTGCCGCACACACGGACTGGGTTAGGGAGGCTGACTACAGACAGATGTTCCAGAACAGTCAACGAATTCACCGTCTCATGTTACCGCTAGCCGTTTTATTCACATCCTCTGCTATGGCTACCCTCACCAATAGTCGGCCCACTCACTGACCCGTTCACCGCCTCAGGCCACTGACACACCCGGCGAACAGACAGACATCAGCCCTCCCCCCCCCCCTCCTCATCGGGACCAATCTGGCCCGATAACCGCAGGATACAGATCGTCAGGAGATTCAGACAGTTGCAGCAGTTATCGACACCAGAGCCGTCTGACGGCGACCGCTGAAAACTGTAGGTTTTGCTGCGCTCCGTACGGTACAAAATACACAACGGCTAAGTACAGCCACGCCAAGTTTTCAAGCTGGTCTAATGGACAGCCGCGGCAAACTGAAGGCTTCTGGTAGTAGAAGAGTTCGTGTAGAAGGGAAGGTGGGTGAAGTAAAATCTTGCGAGGCATGTAGGAAATATCGGGAAACGGCATGTTTTGCAGAACATTGTATACTTCAGCCACAGAACTCGGCAACGAAAGCACGAGCCGGAAAAAGTAGAACAAAGGAGACCAGCACACACCCACCTCTGGTAAGAGCTTTGCTGCGCCTCCTACGGTGGACGCAGACCAGCAGGGCGGCCAGCACCAGCAGCAGCAGCAGCGCCAGCACAACCTAGCGTGGTCAGGAACCAAAGCCCGTTGCAGCAGAGCGGGCGGCGGTCGGCTCCACTGGCGGCTGTGCTGGCGGCTGCGCTGGCGGCGGCGGCGGCGGCGGCCGGGCAGGAGCCAGCCGGAACGACAGCGGCGCAGAGGCGGAGCCCAGGCCGGCAGCCGTCTCCGCCGCCACCCGCACCGTGTGCAGGCCGCTGCTGCTCAGGCTGTACAGCGTCACCTGGTGGGCAGAGGCGGCTTTACAAGCGGCGCGCTGCTGCACACTGAACACGAGCGGAGGGTAGGCGACCATGGCGGGGAGGCTACTGCAGGTGCATGGGAGCTCCGTCAACTGTTACCACATTAGAGGATGTGACATTGTAGAGAGCATCCGATCCCGAGACCACTGACGGCTCATGATAGCGGAGATGTATTCGGTGGTACTCCAGTATCCCGCGGATGTGCATTGAAGAAGGCTGGCTCTGAAGTGCAATCGTACGCGAACAGAAGCACACTATAAGTATCCAATTAGCCCAGGAACAAACATGTCCTGAGCGAACACGAGGAAATCTCATTGAAACCAGTGTGTACCATTACTGACTTTGCCACAAGTGTGCTTTTGGAGTAGGGGAATCGAGGCTTCGTGGCAGGCTTAGTGCTGGTGAACGAACGAGATCAAATATAAAACATAAAAGCTGAATCTATCTTCTCGATATTACCTACAGCACGTTCAAATTTGCAAGTGATCTCCAAGAGGAGATGCGGACAGGCCCCTGTGAGCAGGTCTTCAGCCCCTTCCCAATGTGAGGAAAACGAGCCAGCGCATCAAAGTCATATTTGGTATGGAGTAGCTGTGATAATTTGTTCCAATGCTGCAACGACTGCAAAGGACAGAGACCGGTCCCTCTGGGCCCATCCGGCTATATTCCAGGCCAAGCTATTTCTGGCTTCGCGGAGTGTCAGAATGGCAGAGAGAGAGAGAGAGAAGAGATAGAGAGAGAGAGAGAGAGAGAGAGAGAGAGAGAGATAGAGAGATAGAGAGCGAGATAGAGAGATAGAGAGAGAGCGCG